TAACAATAAAAGAAATACGACTGGCCTGTTGCAATTCCTTTGAGAGAAAGTTAGTGTTGATCATGTACAATTAAAGCCCAAATAAAACCCATAATAACAGTCACACGTGTTACAATTGAACAACGATCACAGCCCTAAACTTTCCTCCGAAAATGAGGTCTGCTTGTGTCTGCTTGCATCTACCCACAATTGTTTACAATGTTTCAAAGTTAAAATCAATAGGGACTGCCTCGGTGGGAACTGCCTAATGTTCCATTAGAAAGCCCCGCCGTTCAATTACAGCTTCGAAGTTGGAGAAGTTTCAACAAGTTCATGACCCAAGGGAAGAACACTGAAAAGTACGCAGTGGAAAACGAGGAAAGAAGAACTCCATAATTGACAAGGAGCATAAATGAAGTTACCCTGCCACTCTCATTCACCAGCAATACTCTCATTCCAGTCTACCTTGAAGCTGCGACAGAGGATGCTGCATGCGGGGAAGAGGTTCTTTTAATTACTGTTTGAAGCGTTTTCCGTCTTACCTATCCTTTGCATGTGTAAGTGTTGTCGTATTGCGATACACCCACAGAGAGACACCCCTTTCATAAATCACCTCTCTTTCATAGCATGCTAACATCTATCCTATCGGATCTGTCTGTGACAGCGATTTCCCCCCAGGAAGCGAAACCCTTATCCAGGCAGTCGACTCCACATAAATAGGACAGTCTCTCGGGAGGCTGTATCACTATATGGGTGAGAGAGAACCCTGCAACTCAAAACGAAAGACAGAAAATACGTGATATTTGTGCGTGTGTGTGTGTGTGTGTGGGGGGGGGGGGGATAGTAGTCATAGATCATGGATAAAAGAAATAAAGCCGACTAAAAGGCAACAAACAAAGAAACTTAAAAAGAAAAGCATTGAAGTCTTGTGTCTTGCAGTGGTAAAAGTTGTTATGTGTTCCCTTTGGGGACAATTAGAGACTTGGCAGCAAGGGGCTGTGTTGGGCAATGTATGTGATACTCACTGAGAATGGGCTTGTGTTCGAGCAATCGCTAGAGGATTGCACTACAATATACGTTGCCCACGTCAAGTACTGTCAAGGATTTCGGGATAGTCTGCTCAGGTCTTATGGCGCTTCTTGCTAGGATGCTACACCTAAACCTTAAAAGCTTTATGGGATTGTCTAAGGCAGAACATGACAACATTTGACTCAAGATCGCTGAGGTCACATCCTTTTCATTTCCACATCATATTTGAAGTTTCTCAAGGATTTACAGAACAAGAGGACAACCCGTGTTTGTTAGTTCCCCCCCCCAAAAAAAGATTTCTTTTTTAATTTAGTACTTGGTATTTGTAAAGATTTTTCTTGATCGTGTAAGACGTGCAACAAGATTTTTTAAGTAGCCGGTGACAGGTAAAATTCTGTTTATGTTCATTATCAACCATTTTTTTAGTACTTTCTATCTATCAGTTTTAAAACGAATCAATCCATTCAATTTTTATCAATCTTCTACACTTATCTTTATCTCTCTGCAAAGATCATTTTCTGGGTGGACTGCTGTGGACTTCTTCCCACTTTCTTTCTTTTTACTTTCTTCATCTCTGCTGGAACTGTAACCACTGAGGCTCCCACTTGGGACTTGTCATGGACACTAACTCCTGCACTTTACATTCATCCCACTCTTGCTATTGTTTTCCGATTTGTTTAAAATGTCTTTGAGTGTGTTAATAATTTTATATTATACAAACAAAAATATTGCTGCATTCATAATAATAATTGCAATAAATTTATCTAAAATTATAATCTGTGTTCAAAGCCTAATTTTTTCACTGAATAATATCCAACCATCCTATTTTCGAAAGAATAGCCTCCACAGAAACAACCAAGAGGTGCCTTGAAACCATTGATAATTATTGAACATGTCTACCTGGCTTCATGCACAAATCAGGTCTTATCTACAAGTCTTTCAATCCTTGGACCCGGAAGCATACTGCCTATATTTGCGGTACACAATGCAAAGACTTAGATCACCAAAATTCTTGCATCCAACTGGTTCCTTCAAAGCTTTATCTCTCAAGTCAAGAATTACCTCTGAAATCTGCATATGGTTTTCAAAGTGTTGCTAGTCACAGACAATACTGGCAACCACCCCATCATTTGACTGTTTGAACTTATCTGTTCGATATCAAAATTGTAAAAGACGGCTGAGGAATGGCATCATCATACGGTCCATAATATTCTTTAATGCCATCAACACTACATCTTCACCGTCACGAAGCAGCACCAGCGGCAACAGCTGCCAATAGACTATTACCATTTTACTAGGTTCAGCAATGTTGTGAGGTGTTTCAAATGACAGTGTTTTGCCTTTTGTGATTATAGTTTGTGATATATTTATATTTTAACTATTCATTTCAGCAATTGTAAACATTTTGTTGGGGTGTCAATTATTTGTGCTTTTTCACTATTTGTCGTAGAGCTCGGTTCCAAATTACTCTATACCGTAATGTGATCCGATGAGAGCGGAAACAAATTCATGGAGCTAATACAAGACTCCAATCGAGACAGAGGCTGCATAACAAGCTTAAATTGATTAACTCATCAGACCACACAGCCTAGTTCAGCAATTTCTCCTCTTCTTACTTCGAAAGTGGACAAGGACTGTAGCTTTCACCACTCTGCCAGCTGGTGAGTCTGCCAGCTGCCTCCATCCTCCGGGGCTCGTATTGTCACAGAGCACAAGCCTTGTATGAGGGGCCACAAGCACTGGTTTGAGATGAGATTCCCAGAGCTGGCAGACATTTTGGCCACTGAACAGCTTTATCCTTTGTCCACATCGTCCTTGCTCCAGGACCTGGGTCTTTCAAAGCTTCGCCGGTGCCTTTAAAGGTCTGCCCAACAGTCCAGTGATTCTAGCTTCTTGCCAAATCACCATTGTTCTTAGTTCAGAGTTCGAGCTATCTCTCCATTCACCTAACATGCAAAAGCTATCATTACATTTGCCATATTAGCAATACTATAAAAAGAGGATATAACAACTTCAGTTAGGAGAGTGCAGACCTCTGCCAAGGCTGACTTGTTAAAAAAAAGGGGGGGAGGGGGCTGCTTCTTTCAACTGTCAAAAAGACTCACACAGTGCAAACTGCCAACTATTACAATGAGTTAGCCCTGTTACTATGCTAATGTAGCATCCGCGTGTTCCCTTCTCCAGGTATGGCAAAGCGCACTCAATCCAACCATTACAGTAATGTAAAGGTTTGCTTTTTATCTTTAAGTGGTCATGCCTGGAGAGGGATGGAGGGATGACAATCCGTTTTTGCTCCAAATGTCCTGGATCTTTGAAAGGACATCAAATTCAATTACACCCTCCAAACCCTTCCACAGTTCCATCTTTTGCTGAAGCCATTTTCACCGATAATGGCGCAATGGATAGAGCTGCAATGATCTCATGGCTGGGGCAATGTTAAGAAGTTTTGATTGAAAGACAGATATTTTGTCGTTGTTGGTTGCTTATTGTATATAAATCCAAGGTTCAGAGGATTTTGGAATCTGCGCTCCCAATTTTATTACAGGATCAACAGCTTTTTCTGACTGTAATGATTACTGGAGGAAAAAAAAAGCACAGCATACCACACGAATGATGTTGTATTTGTTTGCTTCTTTGTGGGTAGAAAAGAAAAGTGAAATTACACATTTACTCAATTTACTGTGGATTTTCTGTCCTTGACCATCACATGGTAAATGTACATTGAACTTTTGTGTGTGTCATTGCCAAACTTGGCTGACTTATTCACACAAACACACAGCGTTGCTTCAAGTGCACACTCATTGTCGATGTCATCTCCACTTCCACTCAGAGAATTAATGACAATTCTGTCTGAGTTAAATGGATGGAGATGTTTTGAATAAACTGTAATTACATGTTGTATTCATAAGTGAGATACACACACATTTTCTTTTCCGGCACGTTAACATCAACTTCTCTGACAAATGCATAGAAATTCAACGAAGTCCAAATCAAAATATTACCTTTTTTTCTGCACAGTAAAAATTAATCCAGTACACCTGGTGGGCTCCCCTGGTGGGCTCCAATTTTGAATCGGGTCTTCCTTTTCATATGTGCTACCTCCCCACTGAGTGTCGCATTGTAATTCTAATTCTGTAACAAACATATGTATTAAGTGTGTATTCTGCCCTTATTTAGTCATGCTGTATAACTTTCCCATGCCCGCAGCGTAACTTGACATCCTTGAAGCAATCATCACTTAAAATTGGAACACTGCCTACTGGAGACCTTGTAGAGATGCAGAGACATAGGAATGCACCTGTTGATACAAGCTAAGAATCAGTTTAGGAGAAACGAAAGTCCTGATGCCTCACCATGAGTTTTGGTACCACCCTTCTGATGATATAAATATGTTGTGAATCCCTTCCTTCTTTGCACTCATGACCACCGCAGCCATTGTCTGAACCGCGGTTGCTCGGAATATTCTGTTATTAAAAGCTTCCAAGAAACTGTTCATCGATTCCAGCCTGTATTTGGATAACCAACATCCTCCTCGTCCGAAATTCAACGAACACATGGGGGAAAGAAGGCCACTTTGCCCCCAACAGTATTAAGTAGCTTATCCGTACGGTCTTGGGCTTCGGAAAACAGTTTAAGTCCCCTGCATATAAACGATGTTGCAACTAGTTGATGAATATGCTTGTTCTTACCTTGACTATTGTCGAGGTTCCCTTCAGCGCAAGCACCATTTGTGTATCCCATCATATATATATATATATTTATTTATTTATGCTTGCATGAGTGTGTTGTCGTTTGGTATAAAAAGAGAACGTTGATTGAACTCCCTCAAGGAATGAACACCAAATACCAAAAAAACCCAAAACATTAAAGCAAACAAACAAGGATGAATAAAACCATGCAACAATGTGGACGTGCATACTGTTTACTAAAACAAAAAGTCAAATCGGTAAAACTTTGCAATTGTGAGCAAAACCTTATTTTTCCACACTTACCCTTCGGGACTGGATCTCTTTGACGTATAAAGGCAATAGGAACTCAGACACCCCCTCCAGTCTCACCCCTTCTTTGGTGACACGCAGATTGCCCATTCCTTCCTAGAGCCAGAGAGATGATGATATAGGTCAGTAGTTGATTGGTAGAATAGTCACAGGATAATAATAATTCTTATTCATAACATTTTGGCATGATGAGTCTAATTTCTTTTGGATCAAGGGAAACCACCTGGTACGATAGCAGCCCCGTTTTCTCTCCTGTCACATCAGAAAAATCTCTGAAATTGTCGGCAACGACAGAAGCATTGACAACAGCGGAGAGAATGACTTTGCTGCCAATATTTGAGCTCACCCTTGTCTCAATTACATGATGAGGAGATAATGAGGGACTCGTCACTGTTCGGTTCCTTTTGAAAGGCCAAATGGTGTGTCACTCAATGACTACAAATTAGTTTGACTTTTGAGCACACCACTATTTCTTCATTTTCACATATATTGATGAAAATGACTGAATGTTTTGAAAGGAACTTTGAATGTGGAAAGGTTCTTTTGCACATTATCATTAACTCCCGGTGCAATGGACCAACAAAGCTTTTCAAATTGAAAACTTGAGGCGTGAGAGAGATGGAATGGGAGAGTTAACGGTGAGGATGAGACAATTCGGAGGAGCTGGAGAAGATATGGAAAAGAGAGAAAAGTGATTATTTGATCAAAATAAAATCTAAAAGAAAAACAAAGTGCTTCATGGACGGGTTACAGAGGTGGGGAAGCTTCAAAATCACAGGTGCCAAATTATGGTGGTGTGTTTTTTTTTTATGGGGAAGCCTCAAAATCACAGGTGCCAAATTATGGTGTTGTGTTTTTTTTTTTCTTCAATGTATATTAATTAAGTACCGAAAAGTGTTTATGCATTACAAATTAGAAAACAAAAGCAAAGCATTATTAAAGTGTGGGCCATCAGAAAAGGTCATGCAATGAGTTTGAGCATGATTGCAATTTAATGCACTGCTTGATATTGAACAAATCCCAGTATATCAGGCTTGGTAGTCCGTTAAAAGATTTAAAAATCAATAATGAAACCAGCCAGATGTTTTCTGTGATCTGTGGCCATTAAATTAAATAAACAGTGGCGCATGGCACTGATTCAATCGAACATAGCACAACAGGTCTGAGAAGATACAAACATACATCTACATTTGAACATTGAAGCATCTACAGAATGAACCACTGAAAAAAAATAGTACAGCATAAGCACACACTCAGGTCAAGTAAACAATCATGTAAAAGGGTAATATTACTTATGAATGGTACAGTCGAGTCCAAAGTTTAAAAAAAAAAATTATAAATTTATAAATGTACTTAACTGACCTCAGCTCAACTTTATTCCTCCAGCAATTTAAAACAACCATTGCTGCATACAAAGTGCTACACACGAAGAACAAAAAAACAATCATACGAGAGAGTAAAAACAGTAAATAAACACAAATGATCAATTGACAATTGTGAACCAATTAATTAGGCAATGAATTCATCAATCGAGGAATACTAACACAAATACAGTAGACACCATAAAACAGAACTCATGCTGAGTCGAATGCCACAGGATATAAATGTGTCTTCAGACGAATTTGAAAAATGGACAGAGAAAAGACTCGCTTAACATTTAATGGAAGGTCATTCCAAAGTGAAGGACTGGCAACAGAAAAGACTCGATCCCCTCTGAGTCCCCGCTTAGTCCTGAAGCAGCGATCCAGTGCGTACGGGTGAAAGAGGTCAGCGAGGTAACGTGGGGTGAGACCGTTTAAAGATTTGAAAACAAAAAATATATTAATGAATATATCTTAAAATGAAATCTAAAATGCACCCGCGAGCCAGTGAAAGGAGACCAGAGGAGTTAAGTGCTCTTCCTTATGAGGACTAGTGCGAGCCGCAGTGTTTTTAACCAACTGGAGATGCTTGAGGGAGGATTGGCTAACTCCAAAATAAAGTGCATCACAGTAATCCGGCCAAGATGTAACAAAGGCATGTTACTGTTTCTAAGTGCTGTTGAGAAAGGAGAGGCTTTACCTTAGCCAGCTACCTAAGATGAAAGAAGCTGGATTTAACAACAGGACTGATTTGCCAGTCCAATTTAAAATCACTGTCCAATTTAAAACCCAAGTTTGAGACTGTTGGCTTTAGATAAGACACCAAGGGGCCTTGCTCAACAGGGGTGGGATGGAGAAGGGCCGCTTGTACCAAACTCCTGAACTGTCTTCTTTTTATTGAAATTTAAGAAACACAGTGCCATCCAGGCTTTGATTTGACAAAAGTGGCCTGAAGGAGAAAGCATCGTTTTTGCTTAGCGGGACATATATGTGACTGTCATCCACATAGCAGTGGAAGGAAATACCAGGTTGTCTACGATGGATATTAGGGGCAGCAAATACAGTAAAAACAGCAGGGGCCCCAAAATAGAACCCTGTGGAAACATCGTATGACAGAAGGGCAGAGCAGGACTCAGAGCAACCAAGGCTAACGCAAAAAATCCTGCCTGCCAAATAGGTACTGGAGCACTACCACAAATACCCCCCTGGTGCTGTAAAAGAGCCTGAAGAATACTGTGGTCCACCATATTGAACGCTGCAGTCAAATCCCACAAAATGGGACATACAGTCTCCAGTGTCATTTACCAGAAGGATATCATTAAAAACTCATAACAGGGCTGACTGTACTACGTGGTGGAAATGGGGCCAGATTGTCTCATGTAGCAATATAACTCGGCACAGTGCAACATACTGTTGGCCTCAAAAATATTTTCACCCCTAAAATATGGTATTCTGTCACATTGAAGGGTATTTGTGTGCTAAAGAAAAAGACAAAACATTTGTGGTGAGCTGGCATGGCCAATAATGGCCTTCTTTGCTCGTCAAAACACTTATCAGAAGCAGTGACCTACATTTACAACCTAAGTGTAATACTCCATGAAATTGTTTTAATATATATTATTTACAAAAGTCCATTTCCGTAGAATTTCGCTTGGCTATACGAATTCCCGTGATGTATGTGGATGTTTATTTATTCTTTTTTTTTTTTCAATCCAGTAAGATTGCCGCCTCGATGTGTTGCCATGTCAATCTAATCTGCACAGGACCTTCAGCATCAGAAGTGCTGGCCGATGTAAATCAAACTACATGACCAGTGAGACTGCTCCTTTTGCCAACTTCTTATAATTAAGTTTCAAAAAATGACTACAATTTAAAACGATAATTAAAAAAATGCAGGGGAGCTGCATTTAGCACTTTTCTGTATTTCTTGGAATCAAAACACTATCACTTCCATCATTTTAACGCCACACTGGCTACAGTATTGTTTTTTTTTAACTTTGAAAAGGTTCTTCTTTTACATTTGGAATGAGCTCTTTCAATGGTCAAAAGCCCTCCAAATCTTCCAGCAGATGAACTTAATATGAAAGACAGTGTTTCGGAAAGCAAAAGTTGTAATTTTTTTAGCTTGTGTCTGTCTGCAGGGGCACAACATTATTGCCACTATTGCTAATGGTTGTTTGTCTACTGGAAATGTTCCTGTGATTGATCAGTGACCAGTTCAGGGTGTATCCCTTCTCTCCACCCAAGTCCACTGGGCTATAGGCTCCAGCTCACCAGCAACTGGAATGGGGATCAGTGGTAGAGAGAATCAGTAGATGGATGGATAATTTTACTGTGTAGCAGAGTGAGCAATATTTGCACCAATATGCCTGAAAAGGTTAAAGAGATTTGTCAAACATGACATAATGAAAAATGTCAGACCTAAAAAAAAGTTCACTGCATGATTTGCACATGTATACATCAAAATGAAATGTGTCATACAGTAAAACAATATCCATCTGTGTTCCTCATTCAGACCAGTTAAATAGAACTATCGTCACAGTAGATGCTAAACAACAAAAATAAAACATGACAGGGGAATTATCGAGTGAAATCATATACCTTAGGGGTTTTAAATCCAATACCAACGACTCAGTCACTTCTCTGTCTGGGACTGATATGACCTGAATAGCAAGCAGAGTATAACATATATGACTGAGCATGTTGTTGATGCATGTGTTGCAGCTGATGTTGATGTGTGCTGGTCCGAGTTAATATGAACCTGCATAGTGTGTGCATGATGTACTCAAAGTGTATTTGACAAGAGTTCATACGTAAAACGAACTACACTGCCTTTGTTGAAAGGAATTCATAAGCCGTATGGTAGACTTTGAGTGTCGGCCTGTGAAGGCATTAAATTCGATCTTTGACCTGCTGTACCTTGTTGTATTGTGGCACATTGTGGCATGGTGTCAGTTTGGAAGTGGCAATTTTCATCAAATGGGCTCTCAAACAAATACACTTCAATGCCCTTTTAGGTCAGGGTATATAACTCAATTAGACATGAAATGTGCGAGTGGTTTCATTCTGAGAGGCACGACAGGTGAAATAAAACAAAACATCAAGGGGTTTGATTTCTCAGTGTGCGGGTTTGTGTGTGTGTGTGTGTGTGTGTGTGTGTGTGTGTGTCCTTGAGCATATCATTAATTTACAGGTAGCGTTACTCTATTGAATGGCAAAAAATGCAAATGGATAATGGAAAGGCCTTCTAACGCTCTGTCTTGTACAATATGGCTAAGTCGACACTAACTAATTCAACAATTAAAAAAAATGTGAATTAAGCAATGCTCAGTAAACTCGTCTTTACGTTGAATGAATCACCAGTTATATGACAGATTAATTAGATTCGTTTTATTTCCTGAACAAAACACAAAATCCAAACCAATCAAGAGCATTCCGGATTAAATTGTGGTTTCACTTGCGACTTGGCGACATAACATGCAAAGGATTTTGCAGAACTGTATTGGAGTACCATAGACAGGAGATTTTGAAGGTTTATTTACCAAGACTCAGCTTTTGCACCGTGTTGCGTTAAAAGAAGCAGCATGTCAGTTATGGTCTCCACTATTACAGTTACAGTAAGAATGTGAATATATGTGAATGAGTAAACATACTCCCGCTCAAAAAGATGTTCAAGGGACCTTTTGACACACCGTGTGGTAGCACTATGTGCAAATAGGAAAAGCGTGCGTTTGT